TGCCCTCAGCTCAATGGACGCATCGTACTCCAAGAGTTTAGAGATGAAGAGAAGTTTTTCGAAGCTCTCTTAGATTGGGAGCATAACCACAAAGCGCTCGCGGACCTCACGCTCAGACACCCAGCACCGCCTTCGCCCGAACCAGAAACTCCCCCCGTACCAGCCGTCTCCACACCAACACCTACGGTGATGGAAGCTGACGAAGAACACAGGATACTCAAAGTCGGTGACTTTGACGCTAGTAGAGGGGTAATGTTACAGTAACATGGCACGAGTCCCCCGCCAGCAGAGAGCCCTCTGCCACCCGCACGGCTATAGACGATACCGGAGCCTCACCAGCTCTATAGACGATGAAGATGATAGATGATAGATGATAAGCGGCAACTGCCGGCTTAGATAAGCGGTCTGGACCGCACATGACGACATAGGTCTAGAAGACCTATTTATGTTATCAAGATAGAAGGCAAGCCTCGTGTTGCCTCATGTACTGATAGAAGGATACCACGTGGATCCTATCTATGATGGAAGCGTACCGCATGGACGCTATCTACGATAGAAGCCCGCCTCATGGACGCTATCTCTGACTCATGTAGATAAGCATATTAGAACCCAGCTTTAGGCTGAGCTTAGATACGATAGAGTAGCCTTATATAAGGTCGAAGATTAAAGTAGACGTTCCTTACTTTAATCTTACTAGGTACAACCCAGAAACTAGTCCTAATCAACTAGCTTTATCCTTGAACTCCTTGTCCCGCTAAAGCTACCTGCTCGACATCGACTCGTACCTTCAGTGACGCCTCTCACTGTCTGTAAACCCTGCTATCATCTCAGCGTAACCCCTCGTTAACCACCACGAGCTACGTTCAAGTACGCAACCTTTGCTTGTCTGTAAAGGCCGACGACTCTCAGCACTCGGTACCACTGTCGTGGTTGTCGCTGTTAGATTATCCTAGTCGCACACGACCGCTTGTCGTAACACCTCATGTTTATTTACATGTACTTCAGATCTGAAATATTCTGCCACTACTTTCACCTATAGGTTTCCAGATTTCTACATACTTTCATATATATTGGACTGACTTCAAGTATCATGCATCATCCAAGTAGGAGGGAGCTGTTTCCTGATGCTTAGGGGTCAAACCCAATATTTTGTAGTTCTTAGTTGATATTGCAAATATTACTGCTCTTTCTATCCAAAATACCCGACATCGTTATCCTCGTGCAAGCTGCTCACTTTCCTGACATTCGCTAACACTATTCCCCACAACCCGCTGAACCCTAACCCAAACCCAAACCTGCTAACCCACTAAACCCAAAAATATTGGACCCGATGCTTTGGCCTCCAACATCATAATATTATGCCTTTGGATTGTGTCCCACACTCAGACTTTTGACTGTTTATCTTCTCACTAACTTCAGACCTATTCTAAACATCAATGTCCAATGTCCAAGGTCAAAATATGAGTCGGCACATTGCACTAGGACAGCGCCAAACTTGGACTCGGACAATGATTGACCTAGGACATTGGATTTGGACATTGGGCACTGGACTCAGTCATTGGTCATTGGACTCCAACATCAACCCGGGGCATCAGACATTGGACATTGGACTTGAACATTGGACATTGGACATTGAAATATGAGTGCACTGGGACATTGGACCTTGGACATTGGACTCAGACATTGGATTTGGACATTGCAAATTTGACTAGTCAGTGGACCATTCACATGCCCTCTATTCCTAATATTTGTTTCAATTTTTCGTTATTTTGTATTGCAAACAAACTCTGGACGTATCAGAAACCAAGTTCATGATTTGTTCTGTTCAATTTTGTTTTTGTTTTTCTCATGTCTAAATATGAGACAAATGTAGAAATTTGGCTCTCAATTTTTCCTCTGTATCGCCATTGATAAAACATGATATTCATCATGACAGAAGGTCACAATCTTGTTTTGATTTTCTTGTCCAATAATGTTAGAAAATTTTTAAATGGTTTTGTGGTCCTGATTTTGTCTGCTTTTTGCCATGAAACAAATGATAACAAAAAAAGTTTTGATTTCTCCATTCAATTTTTCTGATATACTTTTTCACAACAAATCATACCCCATGTTGCTTCTAATTTGTATAGTATTTTGTTCACTAACAAAGGTGAACATTATTCTAAAATTGTCACCTGATATATCATAAAGAAATTGGAGAAAACACCAAATTTTAATTTGTTTACAGTTTGTTCCACTGGAAATTTAGAAGAACATTATGATCTTGTTTCATCATTTTTAGGCAGATTAAATAAAAGATAAATTTGACCTTTTCTTTCAAAAAGTTTACTATTTTTCTGGCAGAAAAGATAGATCCCACATCCAGTGTGGCTTTTTATCTGTCATGCCTCTCCTAAGTATACTGACAGTTGTCATTAATTCTTAGGACAATTTCTTACTTCCTCACCAGTACCTGTAGGAATAATGCATTACCTATTGTACAAGACACATGTATTGCGTTAATCATTGTAATGGCTTATGACACATTTACATAATGATGACTGTTAATTTTAGTTAGAGGTTGGGGGTTAGAAGTTAGAGGTTAGTGGTTAGTAGCTAGTAGTTAGTTAGATGTTAGTTAGGGTCAGCTATGATTATATTCTGTCTTGGAGAAAGTCAAATATTAGATTAAATGTGAAATTAAAGGCACATTCAATTTAAAGGCTGGTGTACTGATAGTTACAATAGTTAATGCAATAATATGACTAGGGATCCACACAGGTAAACCCATGGGTGTCCTGAGGTCAACCTGTACCCATACCCGCCACAGGTATGTATCCATGGACACAGGTACAGGTATGGGTGCAGGTACATACTCGTGGAAGGTGTACCCACCATCTACTGCCATCACCCAATCCCAACAGCCACCAGTGCTTAGCGCACATGCCCGGTGCACATCAGTGAATGCTGACGTGGCTCAAACATATACAGAGAACACCAGAAAGCACCAGAAGAGTGGAAGGAGGGACAAGAGGGAGGAATGAAGACAAGGACAAGGTAGTTAGCATTATAAAAATACACAATACAAGAAAGAGCTGCGAGGTTGTTTAATGACACAGACCAATATGTGTGACCGACCATGAGCAAAGCCAGTGCTTCCATCTGAAATGCAATACATTCATCCAAGTCTTCATTGTTCCCTCAGTGGTCAAAGCAGGAGGAGAGTTGAGCCACAAGGTTGTTTAATGACACAGACCAATGTGTGTGACTGGTCAAGAGCAAAGCCAGTGGTTCCCTGTGAAATATGATAGCCTCATCTTCATCGTTCCCAGAGCAGCGAGTGAGTTTAAGATGTGACAGTAAGCTAATTGCATTGAAGCATAAAACACATAAAAGATGCACCTTTGCTGCTTAGAGCCTCAACTGCACCTAATGCAGTGAAATGTTGGACCTCATTCCAATCACTACACCCCTGCAAGAGTTAGCATTCAAAGGTCATGAAGGCTGGGAATTGGGTGCTGGTATTGGTGGTTATCACAAGTGGTGGTGAAAGTGTGACACAAATATTTGTAAGCATGCTTGGCAGTACTACCATGGGTAACGGGTACTCAAGACTCTGACCCATACCCATACCCGTGACATCAGGAAAATTTTAGCTTACTTAATCTTACTTATTTCGACCTTTTTGCTCCTTTTCCTACTTATTTCAAATGGACCTACTTATTTCTCTTAAATCAACAAGTGCTCCAAATTTGAGCATTCCAATGTGTTTATTGTACTTAAGAGATATATTTCATGGCATAAAACTAACACTTGTCTACCAGTATGAAGTGTGAACGGCACACCACAGCCATCCACATATATGTTGGCAGTCGCATCGTTTTTTTTCATTCAATTAGGAAACTTAGGACTTAGTGAAAATCGTACTATCAACACCTGGTATACAACATGCCGTTTCGCAAGATTAGCCATGATGTCAAACTCGCAGCGATCTGACTACACGAACGTGAACTTTTGAGCCTTGCGGACATCTTGGATTGCTGCAGATTTTCAGAATGGACTTGGTTCCGCATTTTGAAGCTCTGGCGGGAAACTGGCAATGTTGTTGACCCTCAGCCTCACAGAGTACTCCATGGTCGTCTGCGTGTGTTGGATCGCAAGGATATTGATTGCTTGCTGCGTCTTGTTAGACAGAATCCCGACTACTTCTTGGACAAGTTCATGCACCTCCTGCAAACCAATCAATTCATATCTGTCCACTTCACAACAATATTCCACAAGCTCGAGCATGCCGGTGTAAGCTACAAGAAACTCAAGCGGATTGCCTCAGAACGCAATGAGACTCGTCACGCTGAGTTCATTGCACGCATGGCTCAATATGAAGCATCGGAGCTAGGATTCGTTGATGAGACGTCGAAGGATGAACGGACACCTGGTAGGCACTATGGACGAGCAAAGTCAGGCAAGCGTGCAGAGATAGATCAAGTATTTGTGCGGGGACGATGAACATCAACAGAAGCCCTTCTCACACTCGATGGGATCGTTGCTATGACAGTTATCGAAGGCTCGATGACTCAAGAGCTGTTCTTGGAGTGGCTTGAGAACATTGTTGTAAGTCCTATGGATGATTACTGAGAGCTAACAGAGACTTTCAACCAGCTACCAAAATGTTCAGCCTACCCCGGTCCTCTCAGTGTCCTCGTCATGGACAATGCCAAAATTCATCACAGCGCAGAAGTTCTCGAGCTAGTTGACCGTTTTGGTGTGTTCACTCACTAATATCTTGTGTTCTTCGTTATAATACAGTGATTTGGTATTTGCAGGTGTGCATATCAAGTATCTACCACCATACTCACCCGATCTCAACCCTATTGAAGAGGCATTCTCAAAAATCAAGCACTGGCTCCGTCGTCACCAACAATATTATCTCGCTGCTACAGGTGATGGTATCATCTTTGATATGTATGAGGTTACAGAGATCATATCTTCTGATGATGCACACAGATATTTCATACATGCGGGGTATTTCTAGACTACAAAACAGTTTGTATAGTATACATGGTATTGGCAATGTAGTTGTGAGCAGGTCCAAGTCCTATGAATAAAATATCAAGCACAAGGGAGAGACCACCTTTCCACTGTGTCGCGTAATGCAGCAATCTCACCCAACTGAAATCCCATCTCCTTCAACTCTGGAATGGTTACGAAGCGAAGGAATCGAGCTTCTTTGTAGGCATTCTCAGCAAGCTTCGCATGAATGGTGTTGCCTAGGTCATATTCTTCACAAAACTTGTTGAGTGGCATGTCTGTTCCTTGCATACGAGATGGATGAAGGAGATAGGTACATGTAGGGTCGGAGGGGGCTGCAGCTGCAGCCAGTGGTATTGTGGGAATAGCAGGCACCTGTGGGCGAAAAAAATCGATGACTTCATTTCTGATCGTGAAGTTGAAAACTGGGGCAGACGATGAAGATGATTTAGTGTTTTGGGTGTCGAGCCACCGCTGTAGTACAGGACTGATTGCTGAAGGACGAGAATTGAAAAGCTTGTGATGTGGTGGCTTATTGACAGTTGCCATCCCATCATCCTTGAGCTGTGCACATCAATTGATTAGTAAAAAAGTCCTCAGGAAATAACTCACCATTGCAGATGCCCAACAGTCAAATTGTTCATGTCCGAGTGGGAGGTGTTCTTCAGTTTCTGGGTTGATATAGCAGTGTTCGGAGGGGCATGCTGAATCCGTCCTCTTGCACTTCCAGCGAGCTCAAAGAATTTGAATGTTGTTCAACTTCCTCTCGTTTCCAGGAAGGAGAGCAGAGGATTCTTTCTATGGAGGACGTGGTCAGTAAGGAATGTACCAAGAACACTATAAAATTCACTCATTTCTTATTCTTCATTGGTGCATGTTCTGCATTATCCTCGTTTTCATCATTGCCAGTGTTTGCTCCCTGAACTTGGCCCTGGACAACAGTGATGTTGACAAGCAGACTCACAGCATTCATTCCATTCACGTGCTTCATCATACCATCGAAATCAGCTTGCGTTATGAGTGACAATCCAGGTTTTGGGAGGACTTGTGGGATCTGGTATGTAAGGGCATAGTCAGTTGAAGTCGAGGACACGGGCCTGATTGTGTTGGAAATCTTCACAAGGACCTGGGCCTTGAGAGTGTCCCAGGGTTCATCAGAGTTCAGGTTGACAGAAGTGCTGATAGGCTTGCGTTTGGTTTTTGCTTTCTTCATTTCGGCAGCAGAGAATACAGTGATGATGTAGGAGACCTCCTTCGTCACTGGGGCTGGAGCATGATTGGCAATAGTACCTGACACAATGATCAATGTAAGACCCTGAGTATATGCGCGAAATTACATGAACATACCTCATTTTCACTTCTTTACAATTGTTGGAGGAGGTGTAGGGATCCTTTGTGGTTGATTGGGTCCAGCAGCTATGTTGAGTTCATCGCTCTCAGTGTTGTCGGCCTCAGGGTCATCATCCACCTCCATCTGGTCAAGAGCATCAAGGATAGTACTGGTATTGCAAAGCTGCAGATCGTCTTCATCGAAGCTGCTATCTAGGTCCTCCTCGAGCATGAGAGCCGGACGGTTATGTGCTGATTTTTGTGACATCGCAATACATAGGAGTTTAAACGCAGTACTATCACCAAAAAATTCTAAGTCTTAAGTTTCCTAATTGAACGAAAAAAACGACATGACTGCCAACATATATGCAAACAGCTGTAATACTAATGATTTTCTTCCTTAAATGCTCTCTTGAGGCACCATCTTGCAAATTGAGAATCCAAAAATTTGATAGCACACATATATAATGATTGTCAACAAACCCTGGTGGTCCATTTTTTGACAAGGTAGAAAAAAATAAGGAGGTCCATTTGAAATAAGTGGGAAAAGGAGTAAAAAGGTCGAAATAAGTAAGATTAAGTAAGCTAACGTTTTACTGATGCGACCCGCGCGCCGGGTTACCCGTACCCGTGCAGATCCCTAAATATGACATCGTAGCCTGACTTCCTTTGTGTTATTTCTTGATGCAAGTATGACGACCTCATGTGGAACCCGCACATAATAATCATGTGAATTGCTTTCATGGAACGATCAGTCCTTACATGTGGCAGATGGTAGATGTCTGGGCTCTAGCTTCATTATTGACATGGTTATTTACTGTGTAACGTGTTTTATAAGGACATGATGCGCACCGTCAGATTTCGATCGGACTCGGACATCCATTTTTGTCCGTGAGCTATTTGCCAGGCCAATGTCAGTCAACTTGGTAATGATGTCCTGAAGGCCTTCGCTCTTTGTTTTCAGTGTCCCTACTCCCTCAGGCAATGACATCGTCATAAATCTAGATCATAGTATGAATCAACACTACACCACTACACCGTTAAATAAAAGACCTATTAACATATCTACGAGCGGTAGGTAACCTTGTAGACAGACGCATTATGGAGATGGCATCATTAAGCCCATTAAACCGACATCCCGCTTCGTAACCGAACATGACTCTCATTCACTGGCGCCTCGGTGCTCACATCTGAGGCCTACTCAAAGGGTACTCGTCTTGATAGAATCTGCAGGCTTGTAATCTTCGTTGAGGGGAAGCACGATGCCTGCAACAGCATAGATGATCACAACGGCGTACTCCATGAGCATGTCCATTACGAGGTAGATTTGCCATTCGCCCGTGACCATGTTGAATTTTGCCAGATCGCCGGTGTTGGACTCGGTGGTTCCGGTTACCGAAAGCGTGCTCGAAGAGAATGTGGACAGAACGCCGTAGAGTGTCCGAACGGCCAAGAATGGAAGTGCGATAGAGATGGCCTTCAAAAACTAAAGATAAGGCGTAAGAAAATAAGTCGAACAGATGATGGTGTTCCGGAAAGCTCACCTGCTTGTGGTATCTCATGACAAAGCCAACTTGGGTCCATACGTAGACGCAAACGCCGATAAGGATGATGTATAGGGCGCAAAAGAGGATCACACCGACCCTGCCCATGGTGTTCCCACTCGAGCCTGAACTGGAACTTGTCTCCTCGGAGGTGCCGATCATGGTAAGGATGAGAGCGACCATGCCGAGGAGTTGAAGAAGGCGAAATTGTTTGTTATATCTCAACGAGCCATCGGGAGTTCGGAACCTATAATAGTGTTCAGCGCATTCGATCTACGATGACAACTGGATGAACTTACATTGAATGCAACATACCCAGCGTGCAAAGCAACAGTGGGGATAGGCCAGATGACGCTAGGGCATAGCCGCCGTCGTAAAGTGAAATGTTTGCGGGCGTGATAGCCTCAGCTGCGACAAGCAAAACACCTCCCAATAGTCGGACTGAAGGTATAACAGGGTTAAAACTATAACTGCAATAAATTAAACAACTTACTGATGCTAAATGCCAACAACAAGATCCAACCATCACCTCGCGATTTGCCGTACTTCATCACCAACTTGATGGCAATGAACAGGAAGGGAATATACATTGCGATGGTCACCGCTGCAAGGATTCCCTGAGAGTCGAGAGCCATTTTTCTGCAATTGAGGAAGGAGGAAGGAAGAAATTGAATATGGAAAATGATGTGATAGTTGTCAGACTGGTCTGCCTTTTGTATGAAAACATAGCGGAATCATTTGGACAGCGGGTAGTGGGCGCTGTTCCAGAAAAGTTGAACTTCGTACTGTGCGGAAAGTTGAAGTAAAACTGCGCACCGTATCAACTAGTATTGTCGGTCCTTGATCACAGCCGATCATTATGATGTGGCATTGTCTGGGCACTATTGATGGGGGCTGCATTGTTCTATGTGTGAATATAAGCAGCGAAATATGCTAGATAACATATCACAAAAAGTCTTTACAATGTCTCAACCCCTCGTGTTAAAGCACAAAGCTGTCAATAACGACGGCGGCGGCGACAGCTACAACATGACAATGATGACATGCACAGCGCATTATGTCAGCGAATTGAGACTGCCTGCTTACAATATGATAATCCTCAGTTAGTCTTAGAGTTATCAAAGCGACTCTGTAGTTATCGTGGTCAGTTACGATGGGAGGACCTACATAATGCAAAGCAGACGTCGTTAGATTAATATTTTATCAAGTAATTGATGTACTATCTACTGCGGTTATAACAAGGTCACATGGTGTCACAGTATGTGACATCCAGTGTCTTGCATATTCATGGTAATGCATGGCATCATTTCAGGTTCCCGACCGTATGTATTATTGGGATATGTACTGTAACCGGTTTCAGAGTGAGCTCGAACGACGACGGTGAAGCAAGAGCGCGGATTCAGCGTTCAGTATTCGGTATAAGCGAGCAAGTACGTACGGTATTCACTAGTAGCTAACATATCTACAAGTAGTGCGAGGGTGGCTGTAGGTGACTCGGATGTTGAAGTTAACGTTAAACGTTGAGACCCGGAGCACGTACACTGTACGTATGTTGTCCGCACGCATGTAAGTTCGATGATCAGAATAGATTGTGATGGAGGCCTAGCTACTACTAGATGAGTAATGCAGAACTGATAAACATAGTATGAAACATATCTAGCGGGCGCTGCACGCAACACTTCCAAAGTGCAGTATTGAAACTCCGTCGCGGCACCAAGTCACATTTGAAACTGCGTGACTTTGGCACCTCCTTCAATTGTGGTTGTTTAACCTCTGTCAAGAACTTTGTGTACAAGTAGCTAGAAAAACGAGTTTTGTCAAAGTGCCGATTGTTCCGGAAGGAATAGCATTACATTGTACGGTCCATGAGTTGCGGCGCGCCCAATATGATTGGATTGCAACATAGTTCATTTAGGAAATTTTAATTAATATTTGATCAGACCAAAATAACAGTACGCCGAGGCGATGTGGGAAATTGCAGCAATTCGACACAGTTGAACTCGACACTTACGAGTTGTAACAAATTGTGCCTCGTTTGACTCGCGAGTGATACGGACCGGTAGTTCAGCCAATGAGAAGCCAGCGATACTCCGACGATTATTTGCAAGTAGCTACACAATAAGCAGACAGAACTAATTATGACCTATCTCCCTTGCATTCACGAGCAACTGACATCCATAGCGACACAAAATAGAGGCGGGAATGTGTGTTACATAACCCTATGAAATCAATGAAGGGATTGTATGACGCACCTCCCAGAAACAAACTATATCTGTTGTGCGTTTAGCCGTTTCGAGTTGTAGACCTGCATCTTCAACTCGCACTCAGCATCTTTCCTGTCCTGTTCGAGTTCCTTGCGGATGCGTTCCTCTGTGGTTTCTGGTGCTGGTGAGTGCATCATTGGTTCAGGGCCGAGTCACGATGATGGGAGTCGGAGGAATAGTGCTGGTGCTGCTAGTAGTAGTGGATGCTGAGCGCCGAACAGTTACATTGAGCTTGTTCATGCGCCCGTATCCAGCAGACAAAGATCGAGAGGCAATCGCTGTTGAGTTGGTGAGCTCCCGCTGTGATATTGAGCGTGCGGTTTCTGATTGGGTTTGAGCCTGCCAGTGCATAATGTTGTCCCGACATCGATCAACCCTCACAGAACCGCAGATTGCAACTGATACTCTTAGCGTGATCCTGTTGAAGAGGGATCGCCACGGAAGATCTGTAGTTTTTGTTCTTCGTCTGGTTCGCCTGAGCAGCAGCGCAATCGTGGAGGAACGCATGATGTTGACATGACGTGGAAGGTATACATAAGGGATCACATTATCAAGAAATCGAGCATGCAACTTCTAAGCCCAATAGTCTAAGTTGGTGTGACACCGTGTCAAATTATATGACGACGCAGGCGTTCGGGCGCCTGAGTCTGGTAGAAGTAGAATAGTATAGTCGGGAGATAGACGAGATTGTGATAATATGATGAGTTAGATATCGGGCATTATTCTAAATTTCCACTACTTCTTGCTGAGTGCTTGAAGCTGGACGAACTCGTAATAATCTCCTCTCCGCGCAAGAAGTTCGTCGTGGGTTCCGGATTCGCTGACTCTGCCTTCCTTGACAAAATGTCTGTGAAGTAGTGAGAAAATGTTCAGGAGTGACGATGGTCTCGATTGACTCACATGCGATCAGCGTTCTGGATAGTCGAAAGGCGGTGGGCGATAGCTATTGTGGTGCGACCTTTGGCAGCTTTGTCAAGAGCTTCTTGCACCACCTTTTCTGAGTTCGAATCAAGGGCTGATGTAGCTTCATCGAGCAGAAGAACTTTCGGGTTCCGAAGCAGTGCGCGAGCGATTGCTATACGTTCTGCATCATGCTTTCAGCGCACAAAGAAGGATGTTTTGCCATGAATGATACACACGTTTCTGACCTCCAGACAGCTGGGATCCCTTGCCACCAACTTCTGTATTGAATCCGCTAACATTATCATGTCAGTAAGCCTCAAATTTTCGTGGTATTGAGGTCTTACTCTGGAAGTGATTGAATAAACTCCAGTATATTGGCATCACGGCAGGCAGTCTCGATCTCTTCTTGTGCGACCTCAGATTCTGGTCTGGCGGCACCGAGCAAGATATTGAAGCGAATAGTTCCTGCGTACAAAGTCTGCAAGGCAAGCAGTCAGCTCTCTTTACCAAGAGATCAATATCACGATCGTATTCACAGGTTCTTGTGACACAAGTGAGATTTGCTGTCGATATGCTTGGACGTTAAATTCATCAATAAGCTCTCCATCGAGTGAGATCCGTCCGGAAAGTGGATCGTAAAAACGCTCTAGTAATTGGATGCTAAATGGACTCTTAGCAGCCTGTCTGGATACAGTATGATGGCGGGACTTACACCGTGCTTTTACCGCAACCGCTAGAGCCGACCAAGGCAACATAGGTTCCGGGTTCGACGGTAAGCGTGAGGCCACGAAGAACCCGGGTTCTGGGACGGGTAGGATAACTGAAATGAACGTTCTCCAGCTGTATGTGACCCTTGATAGTCTTGCTCGGAATACTTTTGCCTTCAGTTGACTCTGCATCAATCGCAGGAGTTGAATCGAGGAGCCTGATAGTTGCGTCGGCGGCCCCTTTGGCCGATGAAATGTCAGGCACGAAGGCAAAGACATTACCAGCCTGCATTGAGGAAAATACCGTGCTCTGCCAATGCATTGTTCACTTCAATAATGTCCGGAGGTCGACAAAATAACCTTACCACTAAAGTAATGAAGAATGATTGTGTGGATATCTCCAGCTGCGAAACGAGTGTCGCGCCATACCAGACGACTAGAGAAATCACCCAGAAACCCATGGCCTGAGAGAGTGCATACAGCAAGTTACTCCAGAGCGCTGTCCTAGTGGATTTTCTGATGGGTCCTTCCAAGCTTCGTCTGTATATATCAAGACAGTGCTCCTCTCGGGTCAATGATGCAACGGTGCGAATGGCTGCAGCAGCTTCGCAGGCAATCTGAGCAGAGCTTTCTTGCGCTTTCTTGTTCTTCTGATCTTTCAGAACAACTACTTGCTAGAAGACGTTTAGCGCAATGGGAGCTTATCGAGCAGGTCACGTACCAAACGTATATAGCCACCGCACACCAGGACAGGAATACATGCTAAGTGAGACAAATTTTGTAAGAGAAATGCGTAAAATGGAAAAACGGGACGCACCCATGCCAACAATAGCTGCCTTCCAAGCGTATGCAAAGCCAATTATTAAGCCAACAACTAGAGTTGCGATAGATTGGATGATTCTAACCAAAGTCAGTCATTACACCACTTTGGAATGAATGGTGATACTCACGTTCCCAGAGTTATACCAGCAAGACCATTGATCCTCTGGGGGTTTTCGCTCAAGTTTGACGTCAGAGTGCCAGTCTTGTGTAGAGTCTAATGAGGATCCTGTACGAGCTGGAGGAGTTATAGGACTCACACTGTTCTTGTCGTTGTCAAAGTACTCGACTGCCTCCATGAGCAAATAATAATAATGTAGCGATTGAGCACTCACTGTCTTGTCGGAGGATAGCTTTGAAGCTCATTGAACGGAGCTTGGCAGTCAAGACAGCGGCAGCAGAAGCAAAGAAGTAGTTCTGGAAACCCATACACAATGCGCATAGAATGGCAAGGATGAAAAACCTGGCTCGGGATAAGCACCAGCATGATCTCCGGGAAAATATGAACTCAACCAGAGAGCATTTCGGTCGCCTTGGTAGCTTCGCTCAGAATTTGTGGTCGCGCTAAAGCCGGAGACTGCGTGCCCTGCCGACGGATAGCAGGATAAATGGCATCCATTTTGATTGTCAACAGGACTTACCATAGATTATACCAGAGACAGGATACGCGGCACCGTTGCCTGTGGAAACGCATGAGCGTAACTGATGATCTATGCTTTGCGAACTTACATATGGCAAAGAAAGATCCAATTAAGTATCGGCGAAGCCCTTCAGGGTGAAGACCACCAATTCGTTTCATCAAATAAAACAGACCGTAGGCTTCCTCTGGAGCCTGGTCCCCTACATCCTCCTTTAATTGACTGGCGATGTCGCTTCTGACAGATCGAATAGTGCTCTTCCGTTCGAGGAGTTCTTCTGACCTAGACTTTTCCAAATCTGACTCGTCACCTGACCCCCCTGCATCCAGATCATCTTTTTCACTCTCGCGGAGAGATTGAGCTGCGACGAGACGAGAGTATGCGCCGTTCTCATCTGCCAGAAGTTCCGCATGAGTCCCTCGCTCCAGTACAAGTCCCTCGCCCATTACAAGTATGCAGTCAGCATCTTTAACCGTGGACAAGCGATGAGCAATGGTGATGGTAGTTCGACCAGCAGCTGCCTTGTCCAGAGCATCTTGTACGATTACTTCTGAGCGAGTATCGAGGGCACTTGTGGCTTCATCAAGGAGCAAGATCCGCGGGTCCGACACGATAGCTCGCGCAATTGCGATGCGCTGTTTTTGCCCTCCCGACAAAAGAAAACCTCGCTCACCAACCATAGTGTCATATCCTTGTGGCAGGTGGTTAATAAAGCTATCTGCATTAGACTTGATGCAGGCTGCTTTGATCAGTTGAAACTTCTCCTCATCAGATGCATCCTCGTATTGTGTGCCAATGAGACCGTGTGCGATGTTGCCCCTGATAGTCGTCGCGAAAAGCACTGGCTCTTGTGAGACTAGACCGATCTGAGAGCGTAACCATTTGATATTCAGCTCTCGCAAGTCAATTCCGTCAAGCGTAACGGAGCCACTGAGCGGATCGTAGAAGCGTTCCGTGAGAGATACGATCGTAGATTTACCAGATCCAGATGCGCCAACAAGAGCAGTGGTCTTGCCAGCCGGGAAGGTGACGTCGATGCCTTTGAGAATTGGAACATCTGCGCGAGACGGATAGCTGAATTTGACTTCCTTGAACGTAATCTCCCCAGTGACTTTTGAAGGCTTTAGTCCTCCTGGGTTTGCAGAGTCGATATCAGGGACACGCTCGATCGTATCGAATAGTTTGACGGCGGCACCACAGGCACGTGTAATGGCTTTAGTAAAGCATGATGAGAATTCTGAACCAAAAAGTAGGACTACGATTACCTTGTAATTCAGGCGCAAGTATAGCAAGAGATAATGATCCGGTTAAGATGGCAAAGAAGACATTTACAACCTGTCCGGCGTTAGCTGCCAACCAATGTCAAATGCAGTTTCAAGATACAGAAACAGGAACAGACCTTGGCCTTCATTTATGAGGGTAGTTCCGAAATCGAATGCGAGCGCATATCCAGCGTAGTTCACGAAGAAGAGGCAGCCTAATCCCACACCTTGCGAAATACTCGCTTTGGCGTTAACGATGCGAGTAACGTCGATGTTCTTATCGTATATTCCAGACAAAATTTTCTGTGTCCCGAAAGCCTGTGCAGTGCGAATCGTGGATATGACCTCTTCTGCAAGACTGCCTGCCTCAGCAGTATGCTTCAAGGACAATCTGGTATTGAACGGAGATCATAAAGCTTCAGGACGAACTCAACAGCAAGTACACTCACTGTGTGTATTTGGAGAGACATTTTTTCATGACACCGCCTATGATTATGATGCACACAATCATGGACGACAATGCAAGAGCGAGACGCCATGACCGGACAAACGCAATAATAAAGCCAACGACGAATGCGCTGATGCAAGTGACTGCAACAGTGACTTTTTCGGATATCCCCAGTTGTACCAGATCTATTTCAGAGCATGGTAACTTCGACCGTCTGCCTTTGAAAGGTACAGAATGACTTACGAGTGTCGGTTTGGATGCGCGTCGCAACCTCTCCAGCCCCCACATCATCAAAATAGGCGATTTCCTGTCTAAGGATGGCCTGAAGATACCTCTCGCGTATTCTTTTCCCATTAGCCTCTGAGGTGTAAACCCAGGTGTACATGTATATATACGTGGAAACAAACATGGCGACACCTGGTGCGAATTCAGGTCAGTACCAAGTCTGATTCTTATCTAATCAAGAACTTACCAAGATAAACGAGATAAGAAGCATCCAGGCTAGCGCTATGAACGAATGTGGATGCAGCAGCATCTAGTGCGGCCTGCGCCTGCTCAATCACGTTCGTATCATTAGACTGCAACGATTGATAGTACTCGTTCTCTGCTGAATTAAACGTGACGAAATCTTGGGTCATGTCACCGAATACTAAAGTCATCAGAGGCTAGGATAGGAAATAAGAAGATGTCACTCGCAAATATGAAAACTCACCTGCGAAGCGCCAGCAGCAACAGCAAAGATCATGCCAAGAAAGTCCAACATTATTTCAAAGCGAGTTGAATACCTGCGTCGGTAAATTATGGTGTTCGGTCAAAAAAGTGGGATGATCTCACCGGAATAACGATAAGAACGACGCAGAAACGGATGTGTCCGCTGCCAATGCGTTCTCGGCCTCGCTCTCCATTTCCTTGGATGCTTTCTTGGCCCAGGGGAGAAAACCTCGGATGCCCTTTGAATCCTTTTTCATGTCCAGAATAACGTGCTCTGAGGATGTGAGCTCCTTCGAAACGGCGAGTTTCTTTTCGTCAGCAGTGGCTGGAAGGCCCTCCGACGTATGGGACACAAGTAAAGTGGGTTCTGTGCCCATGCTTTTGAGCGTGCTTTGAGTTTGAGTTGACCCATCTGCAGGGAATCCATGAGTTTATGTAGGTAACTGAAGCGGTTCCGATGCATCGGTGCGGCGTCAACGAGTCAAGTTCGGCATACTATTAAGACTGCCACGGTGCCTTGCGTGAGAAGTGAGGAGCCTGTGGAAGAATTAATTGATGGGGAACATGTACTTACCTCACGTAACTGCAGCCAAGAAGTTAGCAGTTAGTTGCTCCTTCTTCCTAGTACGCGAGTCACATGTATGTACCATACGGTAATATGGCAACTTGCCCGATGCTCATTGCTCATTGCCTTCCTTATCACATCGTACACGCATGTCGGAACGACGTGGCTGAAGCTGTATTTTACTGCATCAAGTCTTCTTTCTGAAAGCATCGGAGCATTCAATCGGACTGTCTTGCTTGAAGCTTGAAGTCCATCATACATGCATGTCTTCTAAACGCGAATTTCGAAATACGAAGGCAACTGAATCATTTGCCGGATGATTCCAGCGATATCCTTGCATGCTTATGTCATCCCGCTGCCAGTGGACCCGACTGCGTGACTCTTCGTATTGACTCACTACCACTAGTACTAGTGCACTAGTGACTCCTCGCTTGCAATATTAACGTTGGAGTAGTAATGACTCACAACGTTCCGTGTTAGTCGTATCGATACTACAGCTCGTCAGCGTCGTCGCTGATGGGCATGTCTATTGAATAGCCGTTTACATGATGAGAATACCTCCAAAGTATCATCCACACTCAATAACACAATTTCTACTACTTGGAATCCCATTCAGCTCAGGCTGGAGGTTAGGTATTTCTGAGCACCTTCGGGACAAAAGTATAAGTACTTTTGTCTGTCCGTGAATTATTTTATCCTCCTTTGCCTTTTGGTTGCCTTAGTTACTGTACTTGAACGGCTTATAGGCTATTAGGAATATCTTGAACCTCCACTGCACCAAAATTTTCATACAAACTCGAAAGGAGTGTGACATCATACACAAGAAGTTCTTACAGTAAGATTCGGTAGGCTGACAATGTCCCACAAGGACCGATGGGATGTGATTGTGAGCAACCACCTTAACAAGGATGACCGGTGCCTTAAGACTGGGGGACAAAGTGTACAGACTTGAGCTCCCATTGGACAGATACAATTGTAACATACATGCCACAAGCGCCGTACTCTATACATGAAAAATGGCTTTAAGCTGAAACATTGGGCGCATATATCTGATGAGCTGGCGCAATCATTCACAATGACGAGCCTTGACATCACGCTCACAAGAGGTGCGTCCCATCGGTTGCCGATCCTGAGTTGGAAGAAACAGAACGGTAGGCCTACGTAGTTTCATTTCTCGGGCGGTTCTCGACTTCGTGCCCTGGACGTAGGACACAATGGTTATAGAATTGCCTGTGACGCCGTCTTTGAAGTCATCGACTTCAGCACTTGTTGACATCGAAAGAATGGATAACGACGAGACGAAGATCGGATGGGACTGGAAAGGTATATGCTTTACAGTATATCGTTTACCGCCGGCGAAGATGTACTTCAGTTGCGCAGATATCGCAACGACAAGTGACCAGTGACGACTCGACCACCGTGCATGTTACAAGAATGAGTTCATCGTTGGATTGTCCATTCCATCGAGGACTCACCTTTGTTGTGATCCAAATAAAAGACCAACTTCAGCAGCTCTAAGATATCGCATTCTTCAACTGAAGGCGTTGTCTCTAGGGCTCTGGACATCAGCTCCCAGTGAGATAAAAACGCATGACTGGGAGAAAGTATTGGGAGTTCATGGTGATTTTTCGTCAACTGAGAGACACAATAATGCATGTCTTACGCACCAGATGCGTACAATCATCGGTGGAATGACGACCACCTTCGAGAAGCAGTTGAGTGGGAAGAGACGGGTTTACACTGCGTTGGTTCCATATTAACGAGGACAACGGAGTGAAGTCGTGTCAGGCGGTTTCAAGCATCACCAGGATAGTATCAGAATCATATACATTTCTGCTCCCACAGTATGGTAATGTAGATACCACCCTATAGTAGGGGCACAGTGCTGTGCATCACTACGATGGAATACAGTGTATGAGTCGGTGTTGGTTGAAGCACCAACAGAAGAGGCGTGGAAATTGCGGTGGTTGGTATCAGTGACTGTAAAGATTCTGGATGATTTCCCGTGTATTTGAAACACGGTAAAATGTATGCCTTGCGCATGAGATGTGGTCGAGCATTGACGAATCGGAGATGACGAGCGCGTTCGAGGACAAGTTGGCTGGGAAAATATGGATGTATGATCTGATGCATTATAATTACGATTGGCCAGGCAGTAAAAACGGGGATGAAAACAGTGAATGATGGAATGAGAACTCGTGCCCACAAATGAGGCTTGGGCGCTTCAGCTGCGCAGCCTATAATACAAGTTGGTACTCACGAGGATGTCACATGTTAAACATACCAGCTCAGGCTTCCAGTGTACTCTTGACGCCCATTGTGACTTGGTGTCGAGACTTGCTAAAAACATCGTCGTGAGTGATGGTTGGATGGAAGCTGTGACTGAGCTACGCTCTATAGTTGATTATGTCTTCACCCATTGTTGGAAGGCAGGAGAAATCAACGATAAAACACTGCCATAATTTTGAAGGACACAGCAGCTTGGTCAATGACGCCATACAACTGCCAGACGGACAGCGGATGACATCGATGATAACTTGTTCATTTGACGGCTCGCTGCGGGTATGGAACTTAAGGAGTAGGAAACAAATAGGAGAAGATTGGCAGGACGGAGATAGCAAAGTATGGACGATAGCACTGTCTCCCAACGGGAAGAAGGTGGCTAGTAGGAGTGAGGACGGTGGAGTGAGGTTGTGGGAAATTGACACAAGCAAAGTCATCGCGAAATGGACGGGACATGCAAAGGCGGTGCGGTCTGTGTACTGGAGTCGAGATGGTTAGCGAATGATGCATGATGAGCGGATCCTACGACGGGACTGCAAGGGAGTGGGTGGGACGTGGAGAAGGTAGAAACAATCCTTGGACCAATCGAGACTGGGCACGAAAACGTGTTCGCAGTCGTCTACTCGCCAGACATGATCGTATTCGCGACTGCTGAAGGCGCCTTCCCGATTCCTGATTCCGATTCCACAGTCAAAATCTGGGATGCTGGTAAACTTGTCGCCGCTCTCAAAATACAGAAAATGTGTTTTGCTTGGCTTGGACCCTGAAAAATCCTGATTGTCCAATAAGGAAACCATGTAACGGTATATCACAGAATTTGATTTGTGATAATCTATACACGCACCATGGCTCCGAGTTCAAGAACATCATTCGTACTAGCTTCCCGGGCATCCAAACTCGCACAGATCCAAACAAACATCGTCAGAGATGGCCTCGAGACTACATTTCCGGCCCTTTCATTCGGCACGTCATTTATGACGACAGAGGGCGATAAAAATCAATCTCAGGCGTTATATCTGCTCGGAGGAAAGGCGCTATGGACAAAAGAACTCGAGGTTGCATTGAAGGAGAACGTGGTTGATATGCTGATACATAGTTTGAAAGATGTCCCCACGACCCTACCGCACGGCTGCGAAATTGGGGCGATATTGGAGAGAGAGAATCCTGTCGATAGCCTGGTGGTGAAGCAGGGCTTGCCTTACAGGACACTGGAAGAGTTACCAGAAGGGAGTGTCGTGGGTACGAGCAGCGTTCGGAGAGTAGCGCAGTTGCGGAGGTCTTTCCCTGGCTTGGCGTTTCTGGACGTCGTAAGTTTTCGCAGCCCACGAGTATATCGCACACTCTAACATATTTACAGCGAGGAAATTTGTAAGGCCATGTGTTTATTTTCAAGCTAAACTTAATATCAATTCTAGAAACACCCGTCTTGCGAAACTCGATGCCCCCGATGGTCCTTATACAGCGCTTATACTAGCCAAGGCCGGTCTTGTACGACTAGGCATGGGGGATCGCATCACGGCAGATCTCACCCCACCAATACTCTTCCACGCTGTCTCTCAAGGTGCTTTGGCAATTGAGATCCGCGCAGACGATCAGGAAGCACGGGAATTGTGCAAAGCCCTAACCCACCAGGAAACACAGTGGAAGTGCCTCGCAGAGAGGGCATTATTGAGAGAACTGGAAGGCGGATGTAGTGTTCCTGTTGGCGTCTCTACATCACTATCGCAGATTGATAAAAGCGCTGGGAAACTGACGCGTGCAACCCTCGAGATAACGGGTTGCGTCACATCACTGGATGGTTCCGTACATGTCCAAGATACTCTTTCGCAGGAAGTCGAAAGCATACAGGGCGCAGAGGAGCTGGGTAAAAATCTTGCAACAAAATTGATGGTGAATGGTGCGAAGGTAATATTGGACGACATTACTCAAGATAGACGGAAGAGGGCCAGTGAAGCAGAGACAGCAGAATAGACAAGAATTTGCAATTGTTGGTATTGCAAGTTGATTTACATTTCATATACAAAATCATATTCTATGTACTTGTCGAATACGCGTTGTCTCTTGCAGTTCAAGTACGCAAGATCATGAAGACGATGAACCAGCAATCCTGAAGAGCAAGAAGAATTATCTACCTTCCCGCGAGCGCCTGCAAATCCCTGGACAATTTCGAGCAGCAGGTGACTCTAAAGCAGGAAGGAGTCAAAGACATTGAAGAACCAAAAAAATCGGAGAGCCGTTCTTATGGGGGGCGTTTATTTGCACCTGTTTACATACTCCCTAATTTGGATCACCGTTAACCTCTCAGTTAACCGGTTAAGGACACATCCCAAGGCTTGGACTCCAACTGGCATGACCTCAATCTCGTCTCGCCGTTTACGCAAAGAGCTCACTGAAATACAGACAGAAGGATGTCCCACAGGTACGTCCTCTCACATGTTATACGTGCAGCTGACTGACCCGCCGTCGATTACAGGCATCACACTGCTCAGCGCTGATAACTTTGAGACGTGGTACTTCTCCATAGAAATTCTGGGCGAAAGTTTATACCAGGTCTGATGGGAGCTCACTTTCATTATTCATGGGTCCTTACAAAAATATGGTTAGGGGGAGGTATTCAAGCTCATGTTTCGCTTTGACTCAAGCTACCCTATCTCGGCGCCTGCAGTCCAGTTCGTCGTCAACCAGGAATCAACAGCACCTGTGCATCCGGTGTGTTATACCTATAGTTGGAGTTTACGGTGATAACTGACCGTTGATTAGCATGTATACTCAAATGGACATGTGAGTTCGCTACATGCCGAACTTAGCGTGCTGTAATGTGTCTGATGTGCCGTAGATTTGCGCCTCTATCCTTGGAACTGAATGGTCACCAGTTCTGAGTGTGTCTGCTGTGTGTGTAACCCTGCAAAGTATGCTTGCATCATGCAAAGTGAGTTTTTCCTTGATATCCACGACACAGTCGTTTTAGTAACACGGAACATGTTACAGTCGAAGGAACGGTGAGCTCCCATCTCATCTAACGGCATCTTCCATTTATAACGTGGGCTCTGAAGGCCCGTAGACAATGACAGGTACGTTCGGTACGCACCCGATAATCCAAAGAAGGTACGTCTTAGCGTCTGTTAGACGTTATCCAGGAACCTCTGAACTTTTTCAATGTGCAGACTCGTTTCCACTACGACGGTAAGTGATCGATGCACTGCATATGTCCGTCGGCTTATGGCGTCTATCCTGCATGTCTGCTTCATCACACGATTAGATGATACGTATGTTTTCGTTCTCAATCGTTCATGTTCAATCGCTAATATTTTTAATGATAACCAGGGTGTAGGAGTATTGATAGTTATTGAATGTATCTTGAGCCTGAAGGTAGATGTTGTATTACCAAGGAGATCATCGAGGCAATGCGAGGAGTCATATTCCAGTTCTTTAGGTCTATTCATAGGATTTTTGCTATGACGGAGCTTAGACCCCACAGATGACATTTGTAGACTCCATGATTGCATGCTTCATTTCCACGAGTCCTGCTCGATTTTGATCCACCCGCTTATCTCCGGCGTTGGTGAGAAAGATAGCTTGGTAACAGCTGGAGAGATAAGTGGATCAGATGCCCGCAGGCTTGCTCACCTCAGAAGAAATCTACACAGGCTTATCGATCCTTCTCGAAAGGAAACTCCGGCACGGTATTGACGTGCACCAGTAATGTCAAGAGATGCTTGCCATTGGATCACAGGTATAAAGCAGCTCAGTGTCCGAGAAGTAAGATGTATTATACGCGCTCCGTGAATTACCGGTCAACCTCCCTCAGCTCATCAGTCAACGTTAGGAACGTATGGTTCTACCAGCATCTTGCTAAATTCCTTCAACTTCTCTGGACCGCGGACTTCTTCCGTTAGTAATGGTAGCTGAACAATGTGGAAGAATTCGTCGTAGAGCTCGTGGGCCTCGGAAAGATACTTTTGCTGCATCTTTCTTCGTACTTGACAATGCTCGCAGTTGGATGCTAAATTAAGATTAGAATTACATTACGTGGAGTAGTAGGAAATACTTGCATGTCTTTGGGAAGAGCAGCTGGTTGACGACGATGTTATGCGTGTCGATCTCATAAGCCGTCAATTCCTGAACGAGACGCTCCGTCTCGTACAGAGACAAGAACTCGGAGATGCAAACGCAAACGAAAGTGGTCTTTTCCTGAAAATAATATGAGATAGTTCCGGTGTGTTCAATGACGAAACGTACAGGGTCCTTGAATTGCGTGTTGACTTCGTTGATCACAGCACGCATAGATTCCAGCTTTGCAAACATGTCCTCTTGAGAGTCCTGCTGACCGCCCATCATACTCGACATTTGTCTAATCATGGGCCCAAATTGACCACTGAGCGTGCTGAGTTTGCCCAGGGCCTTCTCCAGTACAGTAGGAAACGAAAGGAAACGCAAGGTATGACCTGTCGGTGCGGTATCAAACACGATGACCGAATATTCCATCGACTTGACGTGTCTGTGGAGACATTGTTTCGTCAATCCATGGAGGTCGAAAGTTAGATGACGAACTTCATGATCTCAGCAAAACTCATTGCCTCGTCAACACCAGGAATGGCGAATGCAAGATCCTGCATCATCGAGCCCATCATGCCGTTTGAATCAGCTGGGGTTGTGAAGCGTCAGCAGGACAAGAATGGGTTTGGGAGATGCCAACGCGTACATTGCTCGACCATCTCCTGGATTGCACTTGTAGGATCGATTTCCATAGCGGACAGGTTATCGAATCCATTGACCTTTGTCGCGTCTTTGGAGAACTTCTGTCCGAAAGCATCCGACAGATTATGTGCTGGGTCGGTGGACTATAGCTGAGGGTGGACATCGGCCTCTGAGACCGTAGATGTGACCACGTACGATGAGCAGTACCGATTCTCGGCACTGAGCAAGTTGGATGGCTAGCGAACACGACGTGGTTGTTTTCCCTGTACGTATGGATCAGGTTTCTGATAGTTCAGATTCAAGGGGCCACGTACCGACACCACCCTTACCACCTGCATCGCACCCGAGTTGACCCCAGAATGTCAATGAACTGGGTGAGCAGTTGAATAGTGAAGCACATACCGCAGAATATCCATTTCAAGGACTTTTGATCCAGAACATTTTGCAGAGTTGGCGGTAAGGTTTCTTCTGCCATTTGAGATACTCGAAAGTCGTAAAGAAGATGAAGCTATGTTGCACTTCTTCAAGTACTGATCAAGCCGCGTTTGGACGAGTAGCCTCTTTCAGCTTCTATATCCTACTGTGACATTCTACACATCACTAGAATAAAATTGCAGATTACGTCGTCCAGCTTTCACTCTGGGCACCATGTCAGAAAACAAATTATCATTCAGAGGTTAGTTATACAGGACTCGTCGGTGTGAGACGGACTCATATCCCCCAACAGCTTTACAACTAGCCAACGAACAACGGACTGCCTATGGTCTCCGGTACAATGATTTCACGCGATACAGGAAGCACTGTGCCAATAGAACGCATCGTCTCCGGTCCACCCTCAAAATGACCCATGGCAAGGGCCGAGAATTCAAGAAACTGCCTCCGTTAAGCACAGATAACATCAAGGATGGAAAGTGCGTGCTATATCACATCTCACATATCAAGAATTAATGAATCTCGGGTAGCTTGGAGCTTTTACTCTTCGAGTCAGAACGTGCCTGGGCCTACTCTCAGGATCTCATCACTCAATCCCTTCAGCCGGCCAATGAAGACCAGGCTGGAACTCTGCGGCATAGCGCCACAGGACGCTTCCGCCGTGCAGTACACTGGTCGACGCAGCTTCTATCGCACTGTCAATCTTTATATGCGTCTTCACACCTCTCCGCAGAAGGGCTCATGCAGATCACCATCTACACTCTCATCCTCAACGGTCGCTTCCTGCGATACCGGGACAGCTTTGAGGATGCGTTGATCCAGCTTAGCGTTGCAAGGCACCTTCTCGACGAACTCGTTGAATGTGCTGCGACAAGCAGAGACCAGGCTCTCGCAACGGTGTTTGCAGATGAAATCGGCCCTGAAATCAGGTATTGCGCACATGAGCTTGGAAGAGAGAGAGCGTACGATGTGGATGCGATCGCTGCTGAGTTGTCGGAAAAGCATCGAGGGGAGATTGTTGAGGGATGTGATGCTCTGATTCAGAAATTTAGGCAGGAGGGAGAAGTGGCTGGGAAAGGTGTGGGTAAGAAAAAGTTGACGACTTTGATGTGGGAAGGACAGCCAGTGCCGGTGCGCAATCCAGAGTTGGTGGATGTATTGCTGCGGGTGCAGGAGGCAGAGGCGAAGATTACGCAGTCGCGTGAGCCTGCTCGGACAGAGGGTGCTAGCGATAAGGGGAGGAAAGGCAAGTCGGGCGGTCATGGGTCCAAGAAGGGTGTTGCCGCATATGATGCTATTCTCCTTGCTCTTAGCGATGCGGAAGAGGTGGGCAGGAAATTGGTTGAAGCACAACAGGTGTGCGGTCACCTTCGCCGATTCGTATTTATCACTAATAAACTCGACAGAATTCTGGAAGTTCATCCACCTCTGCAGCCGGTACGCGTGATATCCATTTTGTTCACGCTTACATCGTCTATCAATTGCTCTCTCGCCGGATCCAGCGTGATCTCCTCCTAGTATCTGCTCTCCTCACCTCGCATCGACCGCAGGCCTCTGCAAAACCAAAGAAAGAGCATGTCGACGCCCGTCTTTATCCTGCAGTAGTCAAGCTCCTGGATACTGTCATCCAAGGTCTTGCTCAGATGCGCAACTTGAGTATCGTGGATGAGAGCCCTGACTTGGCTGCTGCTGTCGAAGCCCGTCTTACATTTACCAAAGCCCGCAGGTAAAGATCAACTTCTTCTGTATTATTTCCACACGCTGATGGTATTTCAAGATGTTCTTATCTCGCACATTGCTATGTAGCCGTGAAAAAATACGCCGAAGCGCTCTCGTTGATCCAACACGCAACTATCTATCTCCGTGAAACGCGTTCTACGTTGTCCATATTCTCAGAAGACCCTATCTCATCCGCATCACCTGCCTACTATCCCCTCACGTCTTCTGATCTAGACGCTCTAGAATCCGTCATCACTCAAGACGGACTGACAATCAAAAATGAATGGTTCGCGTACAACGGCGGTTCTATCGATGCGGACAACAAGACGTACAAGAAACCATTGTTTTTCGACATCGCGTTGAACTATGTGCAGCTGGATATGGATAGATTACTGGAGAGGGCTGGGAAGGCATCTGCACCTCCACTTGTTCCTGTGCAAGCCGTGCCTGCGAAATCACGTTTGGAGGAAGTGGCGAGACCAAAAACACCAGAACCACAGGCGCCTGCGAAGGGTGGACTTAGTAGTTTGCTCGAGGGGTGGTGGGGACGGAAGTGAGGTACGACAAAGTAAATTTTTATCTAGACATTTAGGCGAATGGTCAAGTACTGTAAAGCATACACAAAGCAAATGGGTAGCATATAGTTGGGCAGCTACTTCAAAAAAGACGCTCCACGATCATTGAGTAATGAACTAAGATGCAAAGGGCTCAATCAGGTGATGTTCATGAACAGTTAGAGTCAACTTACTGCTTCAGATGCAGACTCGGAAAACTGAGAATGACCCCCTAGTTTCCTTGCCTCGGGCTCACTAATGAGACTGAGGCTGCGGCCAAGCTTTTGCACCTCCTGCCAGAACTCGGAGTTTCCGGCCTCCCTGAGACACGATTCCTTCAGGTCCTTCAGGAAGCTGGTAACAATGAGCATTTGAGTGCCGAGGTGATTCAAATACTTACGCATTCCACGCATCAATCTCATCCTCCTTCAAAGACGTATCCCGCATAGCGATCATACACTCAATCATCTCCTTATGCCGCCTCGACGCGAACGGCCTCAGCACCACGTCTTTGATGATGACGCCGATATCTTCCACAGCCTTCGTCACCACGTCCCCTTGTGCAAGGTTTGTTTTGAAATCGCGCAGAAGATACGTCGAGCCGATGATACGGCCCGGCGCACGACCAGGGTCCACATCAGGCGACATAGAGCGTTCTGGGGTGGGCAGCGCGTTGAAGGGCCGCTTTTTGAGCAGGAGTGGTTCCTGATCTGATTCTTCTTCCGTCTCAGAGTCTGAAGCGGCGGATTTCTTGGCTGGGCGAGCGAGTTTTGGGGAGACGGGTACTT